AATCATCAGGCTCTACCTAAAAATATTGATAGATTGATTATTGTGCACATCATTTCAGTGCAATCAGCAATGCAAACAAATTAAATTTCAACTTTAAACTAAAGGTCCAAGATTTTGTCCATAATAATTTTCATAAAAGCTAGACACCGCACTATCTTTTGGTGGTAATAAATGCATTAGTGCATAAATAAAATACTTGAATATCATAATATAAGAATAAGTTCAAGGAATTTTTTTTCCAAAAAATATGAAAATTATATACTTTTAGGAAGGTGTAAGTGTTTGCTAAGAATTGAAGGCTCCCTGTGACTTTGGTATGAAAGCAGCATAAAAGTGATATTCCTTTTGCTCTTGACTTTGTTTAGTGTATCTAGGGATTTTGTTGCAAGAATCCACAAGAGTTCCTTATGGTACCCCCATCACAATAAAGGAACACAATAACATATTACACTTAATTCCATTGGGGTGCCATATGCAAGTCTTTAATGGGATTTTAAAAGCACATTTGAGGATTTACAAGATTATATTTAGAGCAGGACAAATTGTATTGATTTTTTTTGTATGTCTCTTTTGATTTATTTGTTTGTTCTGCTGTTGCCTCTTTGACCAATACCCATAACTCTACTTTATATCATGAAGCCGATGGAGACATAGAAGATAAACATAGAATAATTTATGTGGTTATTGGATGTAAAACTTTTAATAGCTAAAAGGAAACCAGGCAACACACAGAAAAGTATCTATGTAGAAAATAAATAATTATTGTTAAGTGCATGTACAGTAAATTCAGAATATTCACTTCAAGAGAATATTTTTCTAACATATCAACAAACTATTTGAACATAAATCTATGTTTTGTAAACAACCTGTCATATTGACTGAAATTTCATCAACAAAATTTGTTCATGTATAACATAAATGATTGGAAAATGAACAATTTATCAACCTTGACTTTTATTCAGTACCTGACTACTATATCACATCATTAATGATTACTGTTGATGTGGTTTGGATAAAATGTACTTAAAACGGACTGGTTATTCTGGGACATACAATTCCTAGCCTAGTTTAACTAATTAAAATGGAATGACCTGTTTGGAATAGTCTAATTTTGCGGAGATATACCCGTTTTTGAAAATGAACATGTTTTCTCTTATAGGGTAAACCATTTGAATCCAAATTTCACCTGTTTCAAAATGAGATTGCCCAGTTTTATATGACAAGAAACTCGGGATGCCAGCTAACTTTTTTACAGTAGAGCTAGGCAGGATAACGAAATATGTTTTGCATTTGAAAGCAAGAATGATGAATCATGGGATCATGGACAGTGTTAATTGATGGAATATAAAACATGCAACAAGTTTGTTCAAAACAACTTTAAAATTCACAAAAATAGCATACTGATTTAAAAATCTTTACAATAGAATCAAAACATGTTGATTTACAAAATTGTTCAACCTTTAATTAACAATGGGAGTATTTATTGTCTACATTATTTGCACGTGTAATTCAGTCCTTTTTAGTGCTTTTTGGAACAAGTAAGCTAAAAAGCTAGTATTTATTATGACCAGGTGTAAGATACACCTCACAATAATAATGTGACTTTGTGGAAGATTCACAAATCAGTAATATAAGTTTTGAAATGACAGTTCATTTCAATATGAACAAGAGTGCACACGCTGAAATGTCTCGCCTGTTTTACTGACCATTGATTTTATGTTGAAAGTCTTAAAGATAAAGATTTTACTAAAAGCATGACAGAAGCTTAACATTTTTAAAGATCTGACAATGAGGTAAAGTCAGATAAATCGTGACAGACAGACATATACACCTTACAATTTTTTAAACACCAAATAAAGTTGACCTATTGCGTACGCTAATTGAAAAACAGACCAAAACAAAAAAAACGTAACATTGACCTTTGAACCATAAAAATGAGGGCAAGGTCAGATGATACCTGCAAGACAGACATGTACACCTTACAATCATCCATACACCAAATATAGTTGACCTAGTACTTGAAAAACAGACCAAAACTCAAAAACTTAACATTGACCAATGAACCATGAAAATGAGGTAGAGGTCAGATGAAACCTGCCAGACTGACATGTACCCTTTACAATCATTCCATACACCAAATATAGTTGACCTACTGCTTATAGTATTTGAGAAATGAACCTAATCACGTAACTTTAACCTTGACCACTGATCAATTAAATGAAGTCGAGATCAGGTGAACTCTCTCTGACAGACATGTAGACGTTGAAAGGAACCCATATACCAAATATAGTTATCATGTTACTCATTAAAAATGAGAAATTCACATGACAAAAAAAATCTTTTTTTTTTTAAGCAGTCGCTTAACCATGAAAATGAGGTCAGGGACAATAGACACATATGATTGATGGAAACTTCGTAACATATGGTATTTGCATACAAGATATGAAGCATCCATGTCTTCTACCTTCTGAAATATAAAGCTGTATACAAATAGTTTACGCCGCCGCCGGATAGTAATACCTATGTCTTGCATACTGCGACTTTCGTCGCAGGCGAGACAATCATAAAACTGAATCCGTCGAACAACTTAACAACATCGTATCAGGAAAATTGTAGTGCATTCTAATTGCAGATAAGCAGGGGTATTAAACAATTCATCACCTGTAACATACAAGATTCAAAGAATATGGGTTGTTGTAATTGACAGGACCAACACGCTCTCTTCGTTTATATACAAGTCTACATATAAATAATATATGTTGCATGTGTATATCACTCCTATTAGTTAGCTCTTAATTCCTACATATGTTGCGCCTGATGGAGAAGCATTTACAGTCAGTTGACTTGACCTAAAATCTAACTCATTTTCCTTGATATTCTTTTTAATAACATTACTCTAAAATTTAAACAGAATGAGAGATGTCAAGAATGTTCTTAACACAGCTATACATCAACATATTGAGGCCCCTCATGGGGGTGTCCAAGTAATCACATAATCCCAAATGTTTTTTTGCCAATATAATCACATAATCATTAATTATTTTTTTAAACAAGATAATCAAATAATCAAAAATACAATCCTAGATTATCAAATAATCAAATAATCATGAAATATTTGGTCTGGTAATCAAATAATCAAATAATCACTATAAAAACGGCCAAGTAATCACATAATCAAAAACCCCATGAGGAGGCTCCATATTTAACCAAATTAACCTAAAGAAATCACAGAGTCTTAAAAGGGAACACTGATAACATCTATGAAAATAATAATCTTGAGAAATAATTAAACAAGTTTGGGCAAAGACAGTTTTATTTACTCTAAAAGCTTTTTTCTTGCAGCTTCCTGTATTTTATAGATGGCATCAGGTCCCCATGTCAATAACTTCTCTACATCACCTATAGCCAGGTTTACGGCTGATCTTACACCATTTATCTGAAATTATACATAATAATTTTTTAATTGTTTGAAAAAAAAGTTAACGTATTTTCAATAAAATATTATCTTTACTTTTGTTTTTATAAATGTTGGTCAAAAGATAATCAAACTATCGGTACAATACATCTTTGCAAAATAATTCTGACTGGTAAATTTTTACATTGCACTTTTTTTTCAAATTAGCTGTAAAACAATTTAAAGTTGCAAATATTGCTTTTTATGACTGAAGTGGTAGCTTTGAAAGCAAGATTTGAAATTTTTACCCTTTCATTCAGAATCATCATTTTATTTATTAGTATATATACATTTTTGCACATAAAATTATAATTAAAAAGGCTGGACATAGTAAAACCATGGTAATTGCATTACATTAAAGTGTAGGCATTGAATGTGATCAAAAGTAAAACTGCGATGAATATTTTATTTAACAAAGTCTTTAGCTAGATACCAAGAAAGCTAAGTTTGACAACTGTTAAAGGTCTATTCTATGGACAACAATATACCAGTATTTGAAAGTATTGTATAAAAATACATACCGGTAACATGTTTTATTTCACCTCACTGATAGTGATTTTTATTTTTGTTTTCACATCATATGGGTGTTCTAAGGTGGTATTAAGATGCCAATAATCCATAAATTCATCAAAATAACATATCTATATTTTCTACTTTCACATCCTGATTGCTTTCGTGGTTTCACTATTTGTTTTCCCAATTACCTGTGATATGTCTGTGTTATCTATTTCAACATCAAATGTGATTTCACATGTCACTGGTGAGTCTTTTGTAGACGAAACACACGTCTTCTATATTCTCACCAGGCGAGCAAGCAATTCAGGTTTTAATGAGCGTTTTGTTAATGTCAAAGCAAAGTTTGCAAAATCTTCAAAACTAACAACAGAGTTCTGATGCTTAATAGGTTCCAGAAGATAACCATCCTGTTGATGCAGATCTAGTATCTTCAGACTTTAAGAGAACTAAATTTAATGTAAGCAGTTCTCTCTCCTGACTGGATTTTTTACATTGCATTCCCGTGTTGAAGGCCTCACTGTGACTTTGAGATGAAGATCAGTAATAAAAGCGCTGTTCTTTGTTCTTTGCTTTTTGTGTGTTTTTTGCTGTGCATGTAGTGATTTTGTGACATGGATGGATAACCCATATCCTTAGTTTTTCTATTAATAAATTTCCAAAAATTGTGTTTATTTCGGTTGTTTTAACCTATTCAACTTCTTGGGTCATAGGCATTTATCATTTCATTTTTCCTATAATTATTACCCACTTCCATAATATCTTCATTTGAAAAATCATCATATAAGAGTTAGTTAAGTTTGGAAAGTCCTTCATTCACAAACTGCCACACAGAGGAAATCTTTAAAAGGATATAAGATTTAGAGAAATATTTTTTTAACAAATTCTTGGAAAACAGTTGAGTTGCATGTCCTTTATAATCAATAGGAATCATATATCATTTAATGAGAGACACAAAGAACAGCTTGCAAGGTTTCAGTTGAGTATAAATACAAGTTGAAATGCAAAATAAAAAAAAACCCAACAGCATCCAAAGCATTTATTTAATAGCACAAGTCATTTCCTTTGAGCACAATGTTTAGGACACCTTTGATTTTTCTCATGTTATGGACACAGATGGTTAAAGTGGAGTCTACTTGTGATACTGAACTTCGTAAGTATTTGTTTAAAGCAGATTACATTGGGATTGAAAGAAGAAGAAAAATGAAATGAAAATGTATATATGTTTTAATAAATATATTCTATAACAACTAAGTACATTTAAGTATATCTTTTTTTTGCAGAGAATGGGCTCTTCCAAGATCTTCTTAATATGATGTTGAAGATTAAAGGCCCTAGTTCTGGTATGTTCTTTCAACAGTATTTTCAATACTCATTTCTACTTGAGCATTTTGCATACTTATTTTGTACCTTCAATAGAAGGTTTGCATACTTATTTCATTATAAGGTCACTTGCAGTCGGTTTTATTTATTGATGTTTGTTTTTTCCAGTTGTTTTAAACTATGTAGAACATGGAATCATGAAATATGCAAGCATCATCATAGATACAAATCATTATATTTAAATAAAGCTTAGTTGACTGTTCGTTTCATATAAGCAAAATGTTTATACTAATTTACAAATGTGATAATGAACATGACATTATAGATATAACTGTTCATTGAGTTTTACGGACATATGCTGTTCTTTAACTTGACCTGACCAGCACCCATCTGTCAAAGCAGCTCATCTGTTATAATGAAGTGTCATTGCCTGAAACTAGATGTGTTGTTATATCCTTAAATATAAATGTGCATTTGTCCCAAGTCAGGAGCCTCTGGCCTTTGTTAGTCTTTTATGTTTGTTTTTTTTATTTTAGTTCATTTGTATGTTTCGGAGTTTAGTGTGACGTCCATTTTCACTGAACTAGTACACATTTTTGTTTAGGGGCCAGCTGAAGCCCGACTCCGGGTGCGGGATTTTTTCGCTGTGTTGAAGACCCGTTGGTGGCCTTGGGCTGTTTTCTGCTCTTTAGTCGGGTTGTTGTCTCTTTGACACATTCCCCATTTCCATTTTCAATTTTATTTGGTCAAAATAAGTCAGTTGATTTAGTTGCTCAAGTGAATAACCCCTGAACTTAAAGGAAATGGAATACATTTTGAAAATCTAACTTGTATTACAATTGGTAATTTGGTAACTTACTGTTTAAAAAAAAAACAAAAAAAAAACATTACAATAATTCTCATACTTTTTTTAATATTTGGCAGTAGCTGTGTGCATGTGCTTTAAGTATCTTATTCGAATTGATTGATGAATGCTTAATGTCAATTGTATATAGTACATGCCTATTCAGGATATCATGTTAATTATATATAAGTATATCCTACTTTGTACTAGACCGACATAATGTCACAGCCAGATTTTCAACTTGATAGCTAACAAGGTAGCAGTCTGCATGTAGACCTGTCAGCTAGACACATTATTCTGACTCGGAACCAACATGTTTTTGCTCTTATTTTCTTGCTGGAAAAGTATTTCATGATTTTACCAAGACAGAGAATAGAACCCTATACCTTCTATCCTCCACGGCAATTTATTTGTCTAGACCATTGATCATATGGAAGCAAAGTTATTATAAAATAGTTTTCTTTTTTCAAAACAGGATATGATACTGATTGATATTTTACTTTTAGATACATGATATTTTTATTAGTTGTTATTTTCTTTGAACTAGCTTTAAGTAACTGCGAGTTCTCTCAGATCTGTACTTTGTATCTTTTGTGTTTTTGTGCTTTTTATCGATCTGAATTTTATAATTTGTTCTTATGTTGTGCTGATACACCACTGTCCTACGTTAAGGGGAGGGTTGACTTGTCCTCAGACATTGTTAACCTTTCCACATTCTGTATGTGCCTGTCCCAAGCCAGGAGCCTGTAATTCAGTGGTTGTCGTTTGTTGTTGCATATCATATTTGTTTTTCGTTTGTTTTGTACACAAATCATGTCGTTAGGTTTTGCGTTTGAATTGTTTAATATTTGTTATTTCGGAACCTTTTATGAGTTTTGCTCATTGTTGGTCCATACAGTTACCTATAGTTGATATTCTTCTATGTGATTTGGTCTCTGGTGTAGTATTGTCTCATTGGCAATCATACCAAATCTTATCTTTATATGAAGTGCACTAATTTTATGCTACTGATTCCTTTTTAAATTCATTTCACCAATTTTTATATGCATAATTTTGTGTAGTTTTTTAAAAGTCAAAATATGTTAATGAACAGCAGTTAGTCAAGAGTAGCTTGAGAACTTTTCCTACATTGGCCACATTTGTTTATAGAACAAACTTTTTTTCGTATATTTTCCCAAATAAAACGAATAATTTATGTAAGGAATGTAATGCTTTCAAATTATAAATAACATATTTTCCCTGACGTATTATATCAGGAAAACTTTATGATGATGTGGAAAGGAATGTAAATAAGCGCTATGTAAAGCTGATCCATCTTAGTGTTTTTATCTTAAAATATTTTTTTGCCAGTAGTAAGTTAAAAGCATTTAACAAAAACGCTGTGATACTCGATACCGGTTATTTACAAATATTTACACTTGCCTGCTTAATTAACCATCATTTGTAATTGTGGTTAAGCAAATTGCTGAATTTCAAGGAAAATTGTGACTTTGAAACATAGACACTACTTAACTGACAAATGGTGGCATAGATATACATCAAACTAAGAATCTTCTAAAAATATAACCTAACTATAAAAATCTTTGATAAACTAAACTAAATCTACAAATTATCATTGTTATTTGATTTCATTAAACTTTCTGTTTTGCAACTGACACGTTAATTGTATATTAATAAACACATTTTTCTTAGCAGAACCGTCTACCTGTAACTGCAAGAAGATTGTAATTGCTTTCACAGCTTCGCTGTCAGCTACAAAATCCATTGGCTCAGGTGCAGTTGTTAAGTTTGATAAAGTTTGGACCAACGAGGGGAAAGGATATGACCCAAATTCTGGAATCTTCACAGCACCAAGGAAAGGATTCTATCAAATATCTGCAACAACAATGTCTCCAAATGGAAAATACTTCTATTCATATCTTATGAAAAATAATGAAAAAAATGTAGGAGTATACACAGGAAAAGGCTTTCATACAGGTTCAGCTAACATTGTTCTCAAATTAAAGAAAGGAGACCGTGTGTACATAAAACACCGTAGCAACACCGAGGAAATCTACAGTGATAGTGATCATTGGAGCATGTTTTCTGGCTTCCTTATTTCTGAATGAAATATGAAGCAATAATTCTATTACATTTTATCTTATATATCCATGTTGTCTGGTGAGCTGTTCTGTTGCACAAACAAAATATTTTCATTCTTTAATTCTTACATACGTAATACTTATCTTTCCTTTTCAATTTAGTATACCTTACATTACCCATATAGCTATTATTTGTTAATATTAAATCAATTTAAAGACCTATGAAGGTATTTGACTTTTAAATCTTTGTATTGTTGATAACACGAATAGACAGCAGTTCAACCAAAATTTTCCTATGACTGAAATGAGCAGGTTTTACTAAATGCCTCTTAAGCAATTGAGAATAGTTGTTAATAGTGAATATTTAAATACATGACAACATAAAATGTAAAAAAGTTGTAAACAAAAGCTTTACAACTCAATTCTATAATAGGAGGTGCACAACTTCAATATGCGTGCAAAATTTTCATGAACTTCAAGGATCTGGGTTGAAAACGATAGAAGGAGTTGATTACACCAATTTGTTTTTACAAAGTTACTAAATTATCAAGTCCAATACCAAAAATGAAAATAAAAATCTTCAAACAATTTCATAACAACAGGTGCACAACTTCAATATATGTGGAATATTTTTGTGAGTTCAAGGTTAAATACTGTAGTATCAGTTTATTAGACAAAAAAATGTATTCAATTTTCCCTTTTGAAAATACTTGAATCCACAAATTAGATTAAAGGATGTACACTTCTGAAGAAGCAGAAAATTCTAGAATTAAACTTTTTTTTTAACCTGATTTTTTGGTTTATATGACTGTAATTGTAAAGTAATTGATGAAAAAAAATCAAATGGTGGTGCAATTCTTTTTTTGCTACAGCCATTTGAAAACACCCAATTTTAATGATTTTTCCCATTTTTACATGTTTTTCACTTGTACAACATGTTTTGGGAATAAGTCCTGAAAGAGATTTCAAAGAGACTGAAACATCAGAATACATCCTTAACATTATATAACAAGAATATGGGGTATGGTTGCCAATGAGAAAACTGTCTATAAGAGACCAAATATAAGTCGAAGGGTAAGAGAAATCTCTCAAAACTGCAAATTGTCATTTCATTTCCATTTTGATTCGATTAAATTATTCATGAAACTTTTATTTTTTGTGGTGGTGGCAGAACGATATATTGAAAATTAAATTTGAAATGTTTAAAAGCTGCAACTAAATGCTTTATAACTACTTCTCTGATATTTTTGCAAATAAAAAAACTGCTGAGTTTAATCTGCGATAAGGAATTCTAGACCACGAAAACTAACATTGATCACTGATCCATAAAACGAGGTCAAGATCAGGTGAACCATATGTGAAGTCCTTGCATGAATCCCATATATCAAATATTTAGGATCCTATTACATTGTTGTACCAATAATAGAGAAAAAATCATGTGATTAAAATTTTAAGTCTGCATTCATTGCAGGTGATATATATATGATTTTAAACTGCAACTTGAAACAATTTTTTGCCCATTGATATTGTGAAAGGGCAATACTTTTTGGATAAATATTGAGAGTTGAAAATATCCCCAATTTATCTGACTTTAATTAATCCAGTCGTTTCACATTATCTTGGCAATTAATCTGTTCTTAAGAATTCTTGCCAAACTTACCTTACCAATGAAATTCTTGTTTATAACCAGGTATCTCTACTGTTCCTTATCTTCAACTATCCAGGTGCCATCACACTGTGCCATCAGAACATTCAATTGGTGAAGAACAAATTTCACACAGCTTACATGTATGAATACAAAATACTACAACTGCATGGAAAGGAATCACCATTTAAATATCCAAATCTTTTACATAAATATTTCAAGACTGCTTGATCTTAACCTTTTAGTGAAGAGATTTTGTAAATGTGCTTTGTCATTTAAAATTGAAAATCAAAAGTATTCTAAATCTACAGAATAACATAGTTGCCAACCTCAAGCAGAGAAAATATATACATATATCATGCCATGAAACAACGTTCAAATAATATTAATTATAAATGCAGGAATGACAATGTTTGTTTTGTTCACACATTGTTGTGGATATAATGGAATTTTATGTGACTGTCGTACAAGTGAGAGGTTTAGCTAAATATAAAACCAGGTTTAATCCCCCATTTTCTACATAAGGAAATGCCTGTACTAAGTCGGGAATATGACAGTTGTTTTCCATTCGTTTGATGTGTTTGAGCTTTTGATTTTTCAATTTGATAAAGGACTTTCTGTTTTGAATTTTCCTTGGAGTTCGGTATTTTTGTTATTTTACTTGTTATTAAAAATTACAAATGCAGGACAGACATAACATTTTTAAGTGTAAATTTCTACCCAAATGCAGCCAGATCCGTACTGAAAGTTGGGTTTTAAGAAAAATATATTTTTTTGAAGACCTATCATAACATGTGGGGAATCCAACACGAGGTATATATTAGGTGTGGCCATATAGATCATTTTTAATTTTTCGTGTCATCCATGTAGTAACAAAGATACTTCATTCAACAATTGACACAACAGGCCAGAAAGCTATTTGCAACAAGTCTTCCAACCGTTCAAATTTAAATGATAATGAAAATTTAACAAAAGCCGTGAATCATAGGTTTTTGTTGTGTCGTTGTTCTCCTCTTATATTTGATGCGTTTCCCTCAGTTTTAGTTTGTAACCCGAATTTGTTTTTATCTCTATCGATTTATGAGTTTCGAACAGCGGTATACTACTGTTGCCTTTATTTACAAGCTACTGACAGTGATCACAGTACCCCTGAAGGATGGTAATCTTTTTTTTTTGCTTTTCTATGGTATAAATTCAATATCATATCTTATATTTTAAATTTTCCTCATGACAATAGAGTAGGGAAAGGCAGCATTGCTGTTGTTTTGCATTATATATAATCAATATACCTTAAGCAGTTACATAAACTTATATCACAGTTTACTCAATTCCACACAATATCTTATTCAACAATGAAATAAGTTAATGATATCAGTCAAATGTAAGTGAGTTCGTCTCATAAGCTGTGTGGGGGTAGTAAAAAGTATCTCAGATAATGTTTTCACCTATGGCATATTTATTTTTTAGATAACTTCTCTTATGTGTTTTACATCATTTTTTTGCTACCAACCACTTTGTTTATTCAAATATTCCACTCCCATTTATGATTATTCGCCATGTTCATAAATAATTTCCTGCCAAGTTATCAAGCAAATATATATTGATGTGCCCCATTGTCTAAATGTTTGTACTGTTTTTGTATTTTATAATGGAATTGTCAGGAAGTATAGGACAGTACCGGCTATTTTGAGATTTCTGGACATATATGATTTTTAATTTTTCTATTATACCAAGCAGCTGTGTTCTGTAATGCAAATAACTCACACAGGTGCTAGGGGGTATCTGAAACTTGCAGTGAGGTGAGAGTTTTTGCTACTAGTTGAAGACCTCGCTGAATTAAGACGAAGAGCAGTAATAAAAGCTCTGTTTTCTGGCTTTTTTCATGTGTGCATAGTGATTTTGTGTCATGAATAGATACACCATAGCAATTCTTTTCCGTTGTAAATTAAGGATAACATGAGAACTAGTTATGTTAAAGACAGTACAGGAAACATAAGAAAGACCCTTTTCCTGCAAACGTGTAACTATGACTTCAGAAAATACCAGCCAAAGATATCCCCTTTTTTGTTGTTTACAAATCCTGAACTGATAAATCTTAATAAAATACAACTTTTTTTAGTTTTTGTGTTTTAGCAGCTGTCTCATTGTCTTAACTGCCGGAGTGGTTTCATGTTTGTTTTGAGTGTGGGAGGTGGTGGATTTCTCTCAGTTAGCCAATACAAAGAATTCAAATAAGTAGTTGCTGCTTCGCTGCTAAGCACAAAGCATTAAAGAGTAAGAGCAAAGACTGTTTGGCCCGTATCCAAATAATATGTCCAGGTCGGGTGACATGTCTTCCTGTAGACTATTACCTTGTGAACTAGCACCTTAAAAAGCTGACTCTGCATGTTGGTCTAGAACGTAGCAGGGTTGATATTCATATTGCATTAACATGTTCTCCTCCTGAATATGCATTTAATTTGCCAATAGATGTTGCCATCCATCATCATCATAAAGCTCTTCACTAAATGCCGTTATTGTGATAAAACTGCAATTTTTGTGAAACTCAGATCTTTTTTTAAAACAGTTTAATTATACCATGTGCCCTCAAAACATTATGAGAGTAAATAAAGAAAACTTTTTTTTATTCTTTTATTAAATTTTCATGTAATGAAAAGTACTTTTCCAAGAACTTGATACACAAAACTAAACTATTTCTACATGATGAAAGACAAACTAAACTCTTGACCATACTTATATGTCTATTTTGATCTTTAAACAATATTATCATTTAACAAAAAAATCCATACATATTTTTCCTTGATATGCATGTTAAAAAAAGACAAAATTTAACTATAAATTCAAAATGACATAAGATAATTCAATTCCCATACAATTTCCCCAACTGGTTGAAATCACAATTCTTTTGCAGAATGACAATAAAAATGAAAATCGATAAAAAACTCATATATCAAAAGTTCCCTAAACATGTTATCAAATGGGGAATAAAAATGAGTATTATCTAATATATAAAACATCCATCATCAATTGTTAAACATACCCCTTCCTGTATGGAAATACACAGTATATACAGACGTCTTTTTTATGACTAGAGTAATAAAAATAGAAGAAATATTAACATATTAAAATGTGAACTAACAACTATCTTAGAACTAGATATAATCTGCAAAGGAATTGAGTATAACTTTTACAGTAGTTTTCAGCAATCTGTTGGATTATACCATGATTTTTGCTCCTATAACTCTATACAGTTACACTTATGAATGAAAACTCAACTGAATTTATTTCTTTCCCTCCATTACAATATTCTGCAACAAAATGTCCGTCTGCTATAACCAAATGAAGAATTTCAGCAGTTCATTGGTGTTTCATGATCATTTGACCAATTCCTTTTACA